TTTTTCTGCAGAGTGCCTTGAGCTTGACTGTGACATTGGCTGCCATCCATCCTGACCTACATGCATTTGTACTTCCCAGATGCCTTCTCATTAAAACCACTGCTTGCAGATGGGATGTTCTTTGCTGTTATCTATGCCCAAGACAGTCTTTTGCACAAAGCAGCTCTGAATTTTCCAAAGGAGTTGATGTAATGTACTCAGACTTAACATATCTACAAGGTCATATTACCTTATCAACAGTACAACAGTATTACCTTATCAACAAGCATCTCAAGCTGAATGTACTGTATTTGGAAAAGTTCCCAGGCAAAAATTGAATTTGTCCGAATGTCTCCATCCGACATTGATCTTGGCTTGTATCAAATGTGCCTCCTTGGCAAGTTAACATTAAGGCTCTATTTGAAGACAAGAGGCTGGGGGCATTTCTGTATTCAGCAGGGTGCTCTTGCTGTGCTGGCAAATTGATACCAACCAAAATCTACACCACGAAAGACTGAAATATTCCCTTTATCAACCTGTTGAAAGGGGAGGCCAGGAAGAGTCAGTATGATGATGGATTCCCCATTTAGTTTTACAGCTTTCCAATTGAGACAAACCTGGAGCTTACTGTCCAAGATGCGCCGAGGATTTAGTTTTGAATAGTTTATGAATGGCACTGTCTTATGTTCTCAACAAGGGACAGGATATTCTATTTCTTGTCATCAAGTATGAAACATGAACAGGATTTGCAAAGGCTGACATATCAGCTACTCTGGGATGCATGATGGCACACTGGACAATGACACTGTATAGTATAATACTCTTTCCTTCCTTCATCTGAACTGAAAAAAGGGAAATGGCCATCATTTACTGAGTTGGTAACTGATGCATTTTTTCCTGTTTCATTCCTACCTCCATATCCACACTGGATATTTTTCCAGTCTATCTTCATCTCTAACTAAGCTGAATCTCTTGAAAATAATGCTACAAAAACTAAATAAACATACATATGTACATGTTGCAAATAAAGGTGCTCTTCTTGGCACTACTAGCTGTCTGTGGGTGTGATGTCAATGATAGGAAAGCAAATACAATATGACCACTGCACTCACACTTAAACTTGCTGGGAAAACAATGTATTTGACAAAACGATGAAAACTGAGACGGTAAGACAAATCCAATGAAAATTGTATAGCCACAAGCTTGCAAGGTTTACATGACAAAAATTAACCACAGTTAGATACTAAAATTCTGACATACCTGCTTCACAGAGTCCTCACTTGACTGATTGTAAAAACAGAATAATTATAAGTAGAAGTCAGTTAGAAACAACATGCTGGGAAACAAAGTCATCAGCAATACAAAATCTCACTCCTGGTGTTATTTAGCAAAAAAATACACTGTTGAAGCAGGTATGTGTACTATAAGCTTTGTGGCACCTTAAAATAATGGGGGAAATATTCTCATTTGCAAATATATTCAGCAGATAGTCAACATGAAACCCTATTTGTTCCCTACATCATGTGCAATACAATAATGAGGAATAGAGTTCTTGGCAAGAAAGTTGGCATTGCTTGGTTAGAATAAAAAGGTTCCAAATGATCACAGCATCACTAGTATACGTATATGTACCATGCTTCACCTCTGTTCAGGATGACAATAACCAATCTACTACTTTTATAACATTCAACATGTAAAAACAGTGTCTTCTACAAATGTACAGTCACTCAGGCTAACAGATCATATCACTCGTTCCCTTCAGTGACCATGGAGTCATGGTCATAAGTGTGCCTTAACCATAACCATTAACCATAGACCTGGTCTAATGAAAACTTGGAGAAATGCAGCAATAATATAGGTATTATAGATCCATTTTTACATGAAATTTCTTGACATATCTGAGATTTCATGTGGTCAAAGGGCAGAGAGGTACTTAGTAGTAGACAGTGCACATGGTTTTCCTCTACTCCCCTCATCTTCCAAAATTTATATATCATGTCAAACTTGATTCAAGTTGAAATATCCGGAATAAAACTAGAAGGAATCTATACAAGTTGAAGATACTACGTGTGTCACTCTATTCTGAACATGAAGGTAGTCAGCACATTGAACTAAAATTATTTCCTGGTGTGGTGGCTTTTACCAGCTGAATTCACAATGGCGGATCACATGTACGTAACATGTCTCTCAGTAGGAATTACTACTAGGTAATATACTACTACAGTGTTCAATGTTCATACAATCACATGATATAAAGGTGACTCTTTTCTTCTGTATGTGCAACATAATCAATACCCAACAGTTGTAGAACACCTGTCATAATCTAAATGGACATAAACCAATATACCAGTAGTAGAAAATCTAATAAGATTGAAATGCAAATATTTCCAAAGTATGAATAGGGAGTGGCTGACTGTTCAGCTGATCGCCCAAATTTAAATAGATCTGCTGCTAATTTACGTATTTCCTCGATAATTTGGTTGTTATGAAAATCTATACTGAAAAGTAGGGGGTGGGGTGGGGTGTTGGCCTTTGCCCTCCTCGCATCACTTCTGCTTGCAAATCGTAAGAACTTTCATACAGGCATACGAGCATCGTGGCCCTTCCCCAATTCGCCAGTATTAATGAATTCCTTCTTGAGCTCTACCTTACATGTAAGAATCGACGACGTATGGAACAGAAAAGGGCAAATGTACACAGTTGAGTATGACAGAATCCCATCTGATCATGGGACCCGGCCATGTTTGATTATGGGAGGCATGGCCGTAGGAAGCTCCGCAAAGCCTGTTCTCTCCCTGTTAGGAATCATCTATACGCCGGAGCATAGTCATTAACAACGACCGCACTTCTTCATGAGGATTGAAATATCGTAATTTCATTCTATTCGCGATTCTAAGCACTAATTTAGGCCACGAAAACCGGAAATACACAAGTGTGTACTCACCATCTTGGATTCCTCACGTGACTGCCATCACAGCGGGGAAAGTAACGAGCTACCTCATTGGCTGTTTGTCGGCAGACCGAAGCTTTCAAATATGCAAACTAGGGTCAAGCTCACCTTGTTATAACTTATTTCATCGGCCAATTGAACACATTTACTCTTTCAGAAATATTTATTTCCAATATTTTATCCATAAACTCATGAAAATGTAGCGTTCGCTAACATTTCTGGGAAATTTACAAACTTTCTTACCCACAATGCAGCATTATTTTTCCCGCGAAACTCGAGATCAGCTGATATTCCAAGAGTTGCAACTTGTGGTTCGGTTGTTGTGCTTTGTAGCAGGAAGATTTGTACCCAAAGCTCTTCTTACGTTTAGTTGTCTTCGTCAAAAAGTGATCAACAACATTATGGAGGGGGAAGTGGTGAAGAAGCTTGCTCCTAAACTTGGAATTTCTGTGCCAAGCACAATCAAGTATGCTTCATGTTGGATCCTGTGTGTTACATTACTAAGGACCTCCTTGATTATTAATGATAATTTTATCATTTCTGACGTTGGTTGAATTGAAAATAGGTTCAACCAACTAATCGTTAGTATGAGCAAGAATGCAGAGACACCACAACTACTTAGTACAACACATAGATTCGTTACCGTTTAATACATATTATTTAGAGGTGTTGTGTACTAAATCGTATTATATGTCATATTTTAAAATCTCTACATTTTTGTTGTAGGAAAGCTCTAGAGTTGATGAGGATGTGTGATGCCAGGTGTACCAACCTGTCCTCTCTGGGGATCCAGGGGTCATGTAAGGCCGTCCTCTGTCTGGAGCTGGCAGCCAGTTGTCAGGACCAGCCCGTCAATAAGGTTGGCACAGGGATGTCATCATCTTCAATACTGCTTAGCCCTCTAAAAAAAGGATTACTAGCAGCTGCGCATGATGTTGTTGTTTATTTATATTGTTTGTATCGCATTATATTGTTTGTATCACATACATTGTAAACCACCTTAAGGCCACACCAATTTATTTCCTTGGTTAACGGATTCGCCGCTTGCTTTTTTTGCCGAATGAAAATAAAAATAAAAAACGTCATAGTTTAGACCCCACAGGCCGGTAATACCCTGAACAGGGAGACCCCAATGAAATTGCTGCAGTTGATACCAATGTCGCTAAAGGCGCTCCTGCACACATAGTCACATGACGTAAAGTAGCCAATCGTGGATTGTTTTACTTTCTGACCAATCAGATGCGATGTTCTGGAACCATGTTGGCTCAGTCATTTGTTTTGTTCTGCATGGCGGGAGCCTCATGGCAGATAAAAGTTGTGGCGGAAGCTTAAATTGTTTGAGAAAGCTGGAACTTTGGATCAAGGCAGAATCTAGGTACAGTACATGTAAAATTGAATAAATTTTGTCCCCTTTAAAGTTGTTGTGACTATGAAATTGCTTGTGAGAGTTAACATTCGTGTCATGTTTTAGAGTACATATGATGATGGTGGAACTTGGAAGTAACATGCTAAAACTTGTTTTCTGCATTTTGCTCGTGTACGAAAAAGATTATCAACCCAATGGTGTGGATGGCAAATAAAACACAATACAGTACATCCTCTCTTGTCTTTTGTTTCTTTCCCAGTATTTTCGTAACTTAATAAGCAGTCTGGATTTCACACTACATGGCTGTATGGCAGGTAGTATCAAATTTTTATTTTTATTTTTTTTTCGCCCGCCCGCTCCATTTTTTTTCTACAAAAATCCGTTAACCAAGAAAATAAAATGGTGTGGCCTAAGTACACACTTTTTCCTACATAATCTGACAGATTATTAGAAGACATTGATTTACATTGCTCTATTAACAGGAGCCCTGGTTGTATGACAATGTATAGTTTTCTTCTTGTTGTTTGTTTATAAACACTGAAATATGTCCCTATGACATATCAATATATAGCATACTAGTGGATGTCGGACAATTCGGACCATTACCAACTCGGCCCAACACCCTGGTCAACTCTGCTCAATATCGGAGACAGAAATTTCCACACACATGGGCGATGATTTCTGTACAAATTAAGCTTTCATAAGCAGTTAAAAACCTCAAAGTCAGTCATTTGTCAGTGGTGCAACAGTGAGAGCATTTGACTTGGAACCAATAGGTCCCGGGTTCGACACTCACCATGTCCTGACACTGTGCCCTTGGAAAAGGCACTTTGCACTACCTTCCTTTCCCTGTCGGTGGAGTGGCGCTCACCATGTGTATTGCAATGTGATTGATTGCAATTCTTTAATAACTCTCTGGTAGGACATTGCAGTACGGTTGTCTGGTGTGTCAAAGAAAGTTTACAGCAATGCGCTGCAGACCCTGGGACGGATGCTGGACGTGCAGCCCAAGGCCAACGTGAAGGACCTGTGTGTTCAGTTTGGATGTGTCGGGGCTGCAGAATTAGCCAAGGACATTTTACACAGGTATTACACATAAAAATGGCATGCATTTTCTACCAACAACCTCTCAAGTTTTGAATATCCCATGTTGTAGAAGCTATCAGATTATTTCAATACAATATTTGCATCAGGACAATTGAAGTGGTGTGATCTTTATGATATTGAAGTTATAATGTTCACATTGTCACTGACACCATTACCCCTTTGAAGGTATCAAGATGAGCTGCAGACAAAAGTTTCTGATGCTGACATCTCACAACCAATGTTCCCAGCTGCAGCAGTATATGCAAGTGCAAAGTAAGTAAACTGTTTAGTCTTAACAATAAAACATAGGTAAGGTTTATGTATGTGCCCTTCTTGATTTTGAACAAAAGCTTGACGATTGGCACAAATTTTCAGTATTGTTTCTCCTTCAAAGATTTCATTATTATGTTATGTCCTAAAATCTTCATAGCTTGTGTGTTTTTGTTTTCTACTATTCTGTAGGCAGTTGAAGATTAAGGTGGATAAAGCCAAGCTGACATCCGTTGCTGGCACAAAGAAAACTGTATTTGACAAGTTGTGCATTGAGATGACCAAACATGCAGAAAAAATAGCAGGTAAGGACGTGTGTAGCTGATAGATATCATCAGGTGTCATAAGAGTATTTTGGTAACTAGGATTATATGACAGTATAGAATTATAACTTTAATTCACATTTACATCAAAAACGAAAAATTCCTGAGATTTAAAACAAGTCATAGTCAACACAATATGCTCTTCAAATAAAAGTTCAAAGTTAGTAACTGGTTGTAACTGGCCCTCTATGGTTTCTTGTCTCCACCAAAATCCAGAAGCAAAGAAGACTCCAGGGACTAAATCGAAGAGGACAAAAACATTTATTGAGGAACTTGAAGAATCATTTGAAGGTAAGTATTTTTGGTGACATATTAAGACAACTTGGTTTCAACATTGTGTTATATCTATGATACATGTATATTTATAGTACATTTGTATGAAACATCACTTGGGTTTCACTAGATTTGTAACTTAAAGACAGTCATGACAGTGGTCCATTTAAGTTCCAAGTACATGTAGATCCAAAATAATCAATCAGCATTGTGCTCATACACATAAACTGTATTGTGTACTTTCAGATAAAAAGGCAACTGTGCTTCTGCTGTGCTTATAAGTTGTAAGCTTGTGTTAGCTAAATTTACCTCACACAAGTTACCATAATGATTGTGTTTACTAGGTGACAAAGTTGGCTCATCTACAAAGGTCGCCCGCCTGTGTGACTCAGACGATGAGGAGGAAGACTATGAGGAGTGGAAGAGAAGAATTCTGGAGAACGCTGCAAAAGCTCTTGGGGAGAAGGAGTAGAATTAAGGACATCACTCACATTTTGATATGGTGTTTCGAAAATGAATAATGAAATTTTGCTCTGTGAATATGATCCAATTGTTACTTTAAAAGAGAGTCTATGTTGTCGTCTTTTACTTTCACAAATTGCTGCTGTTCTTTGCTGAACAAGTAAGGCAACTGTCTGCTGTCCAGCCACATGCCGTGTAGCTGTAAGGCACCTGACTTCAGCTGGGGCTTCAGGAAGCCATGGGAAGACACATTCTGCAGCTGTTGTAAAACATTCACCTGCAACACAACATAGAAACTGTGTTTTATGTGGCAAGTATAATATAGAAGACAATTTTGTTGGACGTCTTGGGCCAATTTGCCAATTCTAAAAATGTTGTACAAGAAAGGGCATAATTTTTTTACAAAGAAATGAAAATAAAATACAGATTAAACATCAGTTAAGTTACACTCAATACACTTTCATCATGTGGAGTCCAAACAAGGCAAGAAAAAACACCTGAGATAGTTGATCCTGGTCAGTCCAGTAGCACTGGGGGTCGACATATGCATCCCATAATTCCTTAGGTGAGATTCCCTGAAATGTGATTGGTTGAAGTCTGTCCATCTCATATCTCTCAAACCTGGTGAGAGTGCTGTTGCCATGTTGGGTCAGCCATGACAGGAATGGG